CTCTATTCAATTATGTTTGAATTCTTTTAATATAATATTTTAAAGCAAGTGGACTGTGTGCTGTTTGTTTATCACCTACAAGTCACAGAATCTGGTCATACCTAAAACCTGACAATTCTATTGTCTTCAGAATACAGCAAAAAAGAAATCAGAATCCTATTAATCCCCCACATTACATTGTAAAACTGCAATAAGATCACCTTAAGAGAAAAGAATATCTTAATCAATCACCATAAGTTAACTCCTTCATACCTGGAATAATCCTGGTAACCCATTTCTAAACCTTCTCCAATAAGTCAATATCCTTTATTAGAATATGGAGACCAAAACTGTAAGCAATATTGCAAATGATGTCTAAGAATCATATTTATAGACATTTACCTCTTTTTTTACTTGCAATCAATATATCTATAAATACACATAAAAACTATATAAGCTTAGCTTTACTACCAGCAACAAAGTACTGCTTTGATGGCTTAATTGACTTTTCCCCCAGTATGCCAAGATTCTTTTCTTCAGCCACACTATTAATTTGGTTCCCCAAATCCTATTATCCACACCCTTTTCTTTGTACAGATAGCAAGTAATGTCCCCAAAAAATGTTAACATATTAGTAAGGCAAGATTTCCCTTTGGTGAATCTATATTAGTTTAATTTATGATACTATACTTCATTAAATCAGTCTCTACAGAAGTTAGACTAGAAGGCCTATAATTTCCAGGACAACCTAAAACACCCCTTTACAAATAAAGTAATAAAAGCAATTCACCAATCCTCAGGCACCAGTCCATTCTATTTACCTACCAAAACTGAAAGAGAGAAGCTTATATATCTGATCTTTGACCTTCTTTCAAACCCTGTGGAAAACCTTGTTTGGTCCTGATGTCTACCCTTGAAATGCCTTATTGTAACCCATGTAAATTCAAACTCTTGACAACCATTTCTTTACTTTAAAACTAGGTATCTTAACTCAGGCAGGTATAAAAGTTTTCCAAAGAATAATATCAAATTAAAAGGGTAAAAATGCCAAAATACACTGGCATCAAGTTATGGTTAAGATAAATCTGACAATGAAAGCTTATTTTGCATTTACCAGTGTCACTAGGCTTAAGTTACCTTACTATTTCCTACAGTATTTTTGGAAATTATTATTAGTAAGTTAGAATACTTTGACTTATAGAAGAGTTATCTGTTTAGCTTACAAACATGTTAATAGTAAGTAAATGCATAATACAGTGTAATCTAAAATAAAGTTAAAATACACTATTATGAAACAAGTTTATGTGGAATCAAGTATTGCTTTGTATGCAGATTTACCAAGGAAGGCAATTTAGTTACTACTATATCCTTATTCTTCTTTAGTTTTCTTAAGGTTTCTATGAAAAAATGAGGAATTGCCTATTGTAAATGTGTGGTGCAGAGATTCAATTAAAACATTCAAATCCAAATTTTTCTTGTCGTTAACTGATTTGAAAACATTCAATACTAAGTCAAGGTCAGGGGCAGCATTTCTGAAATATAATGAAAAACCATAATCTAGCTTTACTTCTATTTCTGTAAAATGACAGGTTTGCAATATTCTCATCTGGTTTGGAAGCTTTACACTATATACTTCTTTTTAAAAATTAATCAATTTATTTTTGACACTTACCTCTTCATACTTTAACTTCCTTGAAACAAAAATATTTGCTGTTTTGAATAAATGTTTTCCATAGGCTGTAGAAATACGTGCTTCAAGTTCATATGCAGTTTTTTTGGTAATTGTAAAAGGTTTAATTTGCTCTTGATTTTGTCTTTTCAAAATGCTTTCAAATTAATTTTTTCCTGGTTATCAAACAGCTGTTCTTGTTTCTTTGTATATCATTTGGTAATACAAGAGTACAATCTTAAGAGATAATTCCGTTGTTCAAACAGTTTATCAGAAAATGGCACTGTAACTTTTACCATTTTGCACTGGAGAGCAGTGTTTCATAATTTCTCTAAAGAATGGCAATTTTGTAATGACTTTTGAAAATATTTAAAATATATTTTTGGCCCTTTGTAGATACCTTTCTAATATTATCATTAGGCAAACAAAAGTGAATTGATAAGAACATGTGAAACTGAAAGTATCAAAACGTTTTTTTATAAGTATAATGAATTTGTAGTTATTAGTATTAATACTACTACTAGTAGTAATGGTGTATCTTAACTTCATTTTAGGTTACAAACATATCCAAACAATGAACATGCGAGCCTTACCTTTACTTTAGGCACCATAATTTCTGGGCCGTACTATTAACATAATAGCATGCACTACAAAATAAGTCTTAAGTAATAGTATTGAAACTGGTAATATTACAGAAACAAATTTGGGAGGCAATACAACGGGTGATATATGATTATAACTTAAGTTACCATTTATACGTGAAATATCCGCTATTAGTATTACTATTAGTATTATTATAAAAAAAGAAAAAATTATATACAAAATATAAGAATTCTACTTAAAGAGACTTACCTTATCAATAACAAGCCAAAAGAATGACATTCTTGAAATTGAAACTTTTTCAAGTAGACACAAGAAATGAAGAATTAAAATGTATTTTGTGTGAATATCAGACTTACTGAAGATATCAAATACACAGATTGCCACGAGTTCTTGTGAAGAACCGGCCCCCCACTAATATTTAGAACACATTAAATTAATAGACTACAGGCCATTATAATATCGTAGCATTATATGTAAATAAAATAATCAATCAAACAATTTTCAGAATAAATAAAAAATACAAATACATACTATTATTACCTGTAAAGGGTCTTATAATCCAAATAGATCATGAAATAACAACACGGTTATTATAATTTAACGTTTCATATTCAAAGTTATTTATGGGGAAAACTGTTTCATCACTAACCTAAAAAAACTCCCATTTTCACTCTGAGCATAATAACAACCAAATTGATAGTTTAAAAACAACTCAGTGTAAAATTATTTATTTTAATATAATATAAGTTTTCTTACTACAGACCTTAATAGTCTGAAAATTATTTCTTCGAAATTCCAATAATAAAATTTCAACTGATAATAAAGTTAGATGTGTATAAATCTCTATATATCCAACGGTAATTTAGATTTACTCGAGGTACTGACTGTGCAAAGACAATAATAGATGGCGCTATTGCTATATATTCATTTGGCAAGTAATATATTTCTTTTCCACTAGTTCTAGAACTGCTGTTACTTTGTATGGTAACGGACGCCTAACATTTCGTCTGTATATAAGGATATTTTGTTGAAACAAAAATTTTTCTAATGGCCACTAGCTATAATGCTCAAGAGGGCTCTTTTAAACTAATATATTGGAAAATTTCCCATATAACATTTTATGCGATTGCTATAGCATCTTCACTTACAGGTGCTATTTTTTTTTCTGTAAACGAGAAAAAATTTAATGGCCATTGTCCTCTTTATAGCGATATTGTTGTTGTCATGGTTCCCGGCAAAAACGACTCTTTTCGTTTTGTGACAGATATATATGCAGAGAAGCGGACAAAATGGGGATCAAGTCATTCGTGTAACTTTTGTAGCTTCATGCTGGTTGCATCTTTTGTATATGGGTTGACATTAATATGGTTTTTTTGCGTTTGTTCTGGAAATGGAAACATAGGAGCAATTGGGTAAGGACTGAAATTACTCAAATCAATTTTACAATCAGTATCCACAATAATAACTAAATCTGAGCAAAAACCTCTAATTATCATAGTAAAGTACTTAAAACCTTAATAAGTTGGTATTAGATGCAGTATAATTAAAATATATTAGCTATTGCTTCTTATCAATAAGTTAGTCATGCAATCGTAGCAGGAATATAGTTGTAGACATCTTTGATATTTTCACTAACTTCTCATCAAAACAAGTTACCTACATAATCAGAATTCAAATTTAACCTAGTAATTAATATATCCAATTTTATATACTTTTTACTTATAATTATGAGAATGCATTAATTCACCAGTTGGGTACCCTGACTTTTGTTAATATTTTCGGGCGCAATTCCAGTACTGTCCCACAAGGTTCGACGAGCTTAGAAAATTTTGGTTCGTCTTAATTCCATAAACTAAAACAACAAAGCAAAATAATTCTTATAACAAACCACTTACAGCTTGTACCTCCACTTAAATGGTAGCTTACTCCTCAGCCCTGATTAACAGTCTCAACCATTTCTGAAAATTACAGTACATTATATATGTATAATATATATATATACTTTTTTAAAAGAACTAAATACAACATACGAGGCTAGTTACTTTCACTTTTATGTTGAAAGAGATAAAAGCGAGAAAAAGTCGCCACTGTGATTTTGCATTTTAATCTGATAAAAGCGTTTTTCTTTTTTTCTGATCAAATTGAAGTGTTCCAAACCCCTGGAGACTAATTCCACCAGCCTTATTGTTTACTACTCTAATTACTGTCGCAATGTGTGCTTCTGCTTTCTTGTTGACAATGGGCATGCGACACTTTTGTCACCAAATTGAGACTGGACCAATTGGAAGGTATGTTGGTTTGTTTTTATAAAGTAAACAATATGATGCTTTAATTTTATAATTAAAAATAATGTAATTTCTGTTTAGACCGAATTACAAAACAAACCCTATTCATTACATTAACTAAGTATCATAATGTGATGTACCGTGTGATTAAGACTTTTTTATTTTATTTTTGTCTTTTCTCTATTTTTTCTTTAAAAATTAGATAACTTTAATGGCTGATGTAAGTATATAAGTAAACGACTGCTTCATCACATAATTTGTCCTCACTTCTTTTTTTTTTTCATAATAGAAAATATTTAATATCCTAAAATATGTACATGCATTAAACTAAATTTTCACTGGTCTTTACTTAAAGCATGCTTGAATTAACGCGGTTACTCTTTTTATAATTATAATAGTGCGTAAAGTATCTCATGCCAACACAAACAATGCAGGTATCAAAATTTGAAAATTATTTTGTTGCTTTTTGTACGAGCAAATAAAGTTTTTCATAATATATATTAAAACTATACGTAACTATCAGTTTCCTTATTATTAGAACAAGCAGAAATATCCGCCTCTGGGCAGGTATAACTTCTAGTTCCTGTGGAGGGCTATTGGGCCTTTTCTACAACTATGTACCCATACTTGGCATTCAATAATGTTCACCATCCACGAGAAAAAGGATTTTATTGAAATTTTAGTTTAAAAATAAGCTATCATCACAGAGTAAATTTTATTGAATTGTTTGCTTGTTTGTTTATTTGAAGTTAAGCACAAAGCTACATAATGGGCTATTTGGGCTCTGTCCACCACGGGTGTCGAAACCCGGTCTCTAGCGTTATAAGTCCACAGACATACTGCTATGCCACTGTGGGGCATTTTATTGAAGTATTTTTTTTTTTTTTTTTTTTTT